AAATATATCAACATCAGCATATATCGTACGTATATACATTTGACGAACACGATCGTAGTGGACAGAGCGCGAGTCTTACTATGCTAAAAGGAATTCGAATACGATTCCCGGCAGATACGTGAAATTTTAACGCGTTCGTAGCTCCTCTTTGGCGATCTGGCAAACCACCAAGCGTATCTATTGCCAAGGAGACTTCTCAAGAGTAATGCATCGTCTACAATGGGTAGTAGCAGTAGTGAATTAAAGAGTAGGCGTAGAAATCGACCTTAGAACATATACACATGAAATGATAATAGGACGCTCAGGCTGAAGCCAAGATAGGTGTAAGAGAGAAAGGTATAGAAGACCTAAAATTCGCAATGCGCATGCTCAATTTCGTCAGGTGATTCCATCTATTACGTTGTTCCATTCGTTCCAATGGATTGACGAACGGAATGACGGAACTGAACATGCGCATTGCGAATTTTAGGTCTTCTATACCTTTCTCTCTCGCACCTATCTTGGCTTCAGCCCAATGCATTGGCGGTATAGGCAATGAGTGTTCCATGTGTATAAATGTGAAAGTTTCTATACATATTTTCCTAAACATTCCTGACTGTTTTATTTCCAGCTGTTCATCTTATTTGCTTCACCCGTCGTTTTTCCTTTGACTCTTTTTTTATGTCTTCCCTTAAGCTTATTAATGTCTGCCCATTTTGAAATTCAGTCTAACAAATATTTTGTGACTCATGTCTGAACGGATTCTTGAGTCATCGACACATTCTTTAGTTTCCTTTACCCCTTTCACGTACATTTTTGGTACTCGTCTGACGTCATTGGTTAGAATTGATAGAGAGCTCCACCTCTTTCGTCGAAATAAAGATCCTTCTAGCTCCGTTCAGTCAGTCTAATTTCATAAGTAGTACTAACAACACCTAAAGTACCGTCTTTTGCTCGCTATATATGAAACATTACGCATAAATAGGTAAAACATTACGCATAATAGCAATACTGGAAATAGCCAATCAAATATGTCCGAATATGCACTTTCCTACTACGCATCCATCAGATTGCTTCACCTAATATATTTCCACCATGTTAGCGCTATTTCTGTCATTCTACCCTTGTTTTACATCTAAGACCTGAATCAGACGGGAGGATCCCGTTTGCCTACAATCCCGATTGCACACACTACTCATATCAGCTGGTGCCTAGTAATTTTTTACTGCTTTACCAATGAGAATATTTTATTTTTAAATTGGCCAATTAGCGACACATGTGTGCAATATGCAATGAGTGTTTTCCAATTGCTTAACACATCTCAACACAAACGTACACAGGAATGCACAAAGTATAAGGCGTCGTCTACAATATACGTAGTAAGAAGTAAGAGTAAGAAATTGACCAATCACAGTCGATTATTCTTCTCACATTCGACTGTGATTGGTCAATTTCTTACTCTTACTTCTTACTCCGTGTATTGTAGACGGGCCTTTACAACCGTTTTATGCGAGCTAGTCCGCTCGCTAGGCGAATGAATATGATTCGTCGTTATTTATAGATCCAATCACATTTGATCGCTAGGTGAGCAGGCTAACCACTTTGTCTGGCTTGAACGCGTTCATTGGTTGCGTTCAGTAGAAATAGCAGCTTTAAAACGAATATATATCGGCTGCGTTCGGGAACGTCGGTCGGATGCCTCGGATTCACCATCTGTCCTTATTTAACATTTAATGTTAAACAAAGACGTATGATAAATCCGAGGCATCAGAGGCATTCGAGCGACGTTTCCGAACGTAGCCATTATTTGCCCACATTGCTAATTGGCTAATTTAAAATAATATAATTTCATTCTATATATTCAGATCCAGTGAGGAATTACGGGCAAGACCAATCAAATTAAAGAATTTTACAACAGTTGCAAAGTTACTTTTTCTGCTGAACGCAGTCAAGGGTGCATTCAAATTCTCTTCCATCCCTTCGAATTGTGTTTCTCGAAATGAGGTAAATATTACAAAAGTAAACAAATTTACTAGTTGACCAATGATATGAATATTCTAATAAATTCGCTCACTTTTGTCATTTTCATTTCAAGATTCTCAATCAACTTCCTATTATAACGTTATTTAGCTCATCAGAGAGTTAAAAGAAAGTGATTATATACACGCTAATTTAAAATGATTTTATTGTTTTTCATTGTCACTAATCTTTTATAATAACATAAAAGCAATAAATATATAGCATACACATCTACATACGTAAGTATACATGTATAATCGATTTAATAATAAAGCTTTTGAATTATCAAGAAAAAATAATCAAAAAAACAACTTTGTCGGAAAGAGATAGAATTGAAAAGTACCAATAAAATCAAATGAAAATTCACGATTCTTAAGGATAAAAAAGATGGATCTTTTAGAATTCTAAGTTTTTTAATTTTTCCTAGAAGCGAAGTAATTAATAGTAAACTGGTATAATTCTACTCGAATTTGTTAGCAAACTATTTATATTTCAAAGATATTAATAAAAAATAGAAACTATTACTTTAAATGAACAAAATAATATTATTGTACAATAGTATTATATAGTAGTATTATATGTAAAATATTACAATAGTTAATGACAGAACCTTGCAGAGAGAATCTGACTAAAAGATAGTATTTTGTTAACATTTTGTGTGAGAAAAATACATATTTATATTCTCTGTCTCATTCTTTTTTCATTTTGTTTCCTCTTTTGCGCTAGTTCTCTCTCTCTCTCTCTCTCTCTCTCTCTCTCTATCGAATTAACAAAACATGGCAGGTCAATTAAAACAGACTGTCTAATAGCAAGACTCAAGAAAAACCCTAAGGGCCTGCGCACAATAGAGGAACAAGAATTAGATATTAAGATTTCAACCTATCAGAAACCGTGTATTCCGATGTAATCAGTTTCTGATAGGTTAAAATCTTAATATCTAATTCCTGTTCCTCTATTGTGCTCAGGCCCTAACCCTACAAGATATAGGGTGCTTTCCAGCAAGGACACAATCAAACACAGTGTAACACAGTGAATCATTTCATCCTTATTTAACGTAAGCAAACAACAAGGACATATGATTCACTGTGTTACACTGTGTCTGACTGTGTCCCTTGCTGGAAAGCACCCATAATTTGGTGCCTCATCTATACAAACGGGGGTCACTAGAATCCGTCCATTTTTTTCACCTATTTTTCAGAATGACTCAAAAAATCACTAAAAATTCACCCACATACTTTCATCTTTCTAGAATAAATATTGGAATTTCAGTTTGGAAAATAATAAAATGTAGTATAATTTATAATTACTAAAAGACTCAAAGAAACTTGCACGAATAGAAATCGCTCGGTCACTACTATATAGTGACCCAACTTGTAGGATAAGGCCGGATCCTCATACGGGCAACAGCGCTTTGACACCGAACGCTGATTGGTAAAAAACGAGTGATGGGGGTAAATTTTACCCTCACAACCGGCTTTTCACCAATTAGCGTTCGGTGTCAAAGCGCTGTTGCTTGTATGAGGATCCGGGCTAAGGGTTAAATGTATAAAATATATTAATGTTTATTGAAAAAAAACAGCGTTACTTATAGCGTTTTCGATTGGGCAAAAGTTAGTGCGCACCAGTGCGCACTCAGTTCACACCAACACTGGACGAGTTCCATGGGTTGCACTGAATAGTGCAAGTTCAAAAGAATACGCCAAGATTTTCAGTGCAAAAGCTGAAACTCATTTTTGTTCACTTTGAAGCAATGTTTAACAAAATGTTACAAAACCACAGTAAAAGATATTAAGAGTAGGACAAGACCCCATTTTCAATTCAACTGCGCAGATTTGCTTGTCCCTATGTATATCCTTAACTGTGATAAAACGTGCACTGAACTGGCACCGTCAAAATATCTCGTGCCACTTAGTGCGCACTGAGTGCGCACTACGCGAGTGTCGTGCGATCAAATGAACACGTGACACTACCCAAGTGCGCATTGGCACTGCCAATCGAACACGCTCTTGACACTGAGTGCAGCCAGTGCACCCCAATCGAAAACGCTATTAAATATTAATATGATAGGCAATTGTGCTTATACCCATACTTTGGGCTCTCACACATGAAATGCATAACAGAGCATAACAGAACATAAGGCCGCTAAACCAATGAGCATCTTATGTAAATCAATATGGCGACATTATGCTAGATGCTCATTGGTTTAGCGGCTTTATGTTATGCTTATGCTCTGTTATGCATTTCATGTGCGATAGCCTTTATTGTAGAAGGCCTATTAGACGGGGAGTACTCTTATAGCGTTTTCGGCCCGATCGGGTTTGCACCAACCTGGGTTGGATTAATCTTTCCTATTGGTTGATGTCACACGCTCTACCAATAGGAGAGCGCAAAACGCCATTATCCAACCCAGGTTGGTGCAAACCAGGTCGGGCCGAAAACGCTAATACATAACGCATAATGCATAAGAAAATCATCCAATCAAAATTCTCCTTTTCCGTGAAATGGGAGGAAAGATTTTGATTGGTTGATTTGCTTATGCACTATGTGTTATACGTTATGCAAAAGTCTGTATTGCGGCCCTTAGGACATCGAGTGATGATTTTTTATTGGTTCCGCCATATTCAGGGAACGAAAGCGAATAAGACACGAGTAAAACAGTTTGTTTTCGCTATCTCATAATCATGTTCCCCTTAATGGCGGACGCGCACGCGCGCGAGACGGGTGTTCTAATTCTTATTAGAGAAGCGCAAATGCATTCAGTGCATTCTATTAACTTTGGAGCAAGCACTTGATCTAGTTTAGTTTGCCGCCATTATGCACAATAGAATACTTTATATTCTAAGGGTGGATTCAGACCTAGGCAGAAAAGTATAAAGTAAAAAAAAGGCAGCCAATCAGAACTCGCGCTAGTAGTCGCTTGTTTCGGCTTTCTGAACTGCCCCTGTATTCTCTAATTTGTTGTTCAATCGTTATGTACCGTTACGTGTCTGGAGATGGGGATCCAAACTCTAATGGGGGTCCGATGTCCGATGTCGGGTCTCTTTTATTTACGGGACTCTAATCGCAGGTAATGTGAAATTTTTCTAGATTTCTAGCATCTCTTCCCAGATATCTTCTGGCGTTCTTTCTGGCGCCACTACGCGGCGACACCGACTGTCGCGAAGACGTTACGTCACGCAGAAACGACGTGCTAATGGTTAATGGCTTCCACGGCATTCGGTCGAGCTAGGCCTTTATGAGCGAGCCAGAATCCAATCCAAAGAAAACACATGAGACATGATGCGATCGGCCGATAGAACTATAAAAATATGATCGCCTGAACTCTGTACGATCACGACAGAGATTCATTTCTGGCCGGGGACATCGGTCGTCCGCGAATTACGTGCTGGAACTTGTTTGCGCGAAGAGGAAAACGACGTAACCATTACGAATTCTCATCGACCTTTCGTCATTGGTTTCGGCCCTGATGCGAACAACATCGAGGCTCCCCGCGACGTTGCAGGACATACATCGCACGTAAGTACGATTGTGATCCCCGTTGTCGTGTCGTTTCCCCGATTTTCCTCCGTGATCGTCGGAAACTTTCGCTCGGAAAAAGAAACTGGGCGAGTCCGTGCCATGTAGGAGCAATGGCGGCCGTACCAGTTCGTGATACTCGTGGTTCCGCGTACCTCACTCTCTCCACTACGCTCATTGTTAATTCGTGTCCGACTAAGAATCCGAGCGAGTGCGACGCGGCTTATTAGCATAACGCGATCGTTCCGCTCGCAAGGTAAACGCGTCGTTCTTACGATTTCGTTATATACGTGCGCACCGTTAATGTGTGCGTGCGTGCGTGCGTGCCCGCCTGCCTGCTGCATGAATGCGTGTGCACATATATGTGTGGTTGTGATCGCGCGTGAATGTCATACATATCCATGACGATCGGCTCCGAGACCTGCCAAGAGTGCCGAAACACTGTCGAGGCACGTTCAAGCAATAGCGTTATTTCCGTTATTTCCGATCATTTCCATCGATGTCAGGGTAAGCCAGGAAGGAGAGCCTCACGCTTATTCCTGTTGATATTTTCCCTACTACTCAGCGATGGCTGATGACAATACATCGCAATGTGAAATTATCTTTATATGCTCAAAGAGAGTACAACATATTACACATATAAATTTTTTTATGAAAAAATAAAAATGAATTTGTATTTATGTATATATATATATATATATATACGTTTATTATAT